AAAAAAAAAAAAGGTACTGGCCAAAAGACTAAGAGGATTAAAAGAGACCTGTCAAAGCAGGTCCGTGTGAAAGAGGGTGTCCTGTATCTCAGACCACTTAGGGGATATGCTTCAGGGAAAGAGTTCCTTAGACAAACAAAAAGGCTATGCTGACTGAGAAACAACCAAGCCTGTACCAAGTGCCAGGGCACCACAGTCCAAAGGAAACCATCTCCTGAGATAAGCTGGGCTACCTGAACTCATGCAGAAACCATCACAAGTGATTAGTAGGGATGCGTACTTTTACAGCCAGTTAGACTTTTTTTTTTTTTGAAACACAATCTCACATAACCCAGGCTGGCCATCAACCTCCAGACTCAACCTCCTAAGTGCTAGAACTACAAATATACAGCCAGCGGTGGTGGCGCACGCCTTCAATCCCAGCACTCGGGAGGCAGAGGCAGGCGGGTCTCTGTGAGTTCGAGGCCAGACTGGAGTACAGAGTGAGTTCCAGGACAGGCAGGGCTACACAGAGAAACCCTGTCTCAAAAAAAAAAAACCAGCCAACCAACCAAACAAACAAACAAATACACACTACCACAACCAGTTCAATTGGACATATAAAAGGGAAAGTTATCACGTGTGCATTTACATGCCAGGGGTGTGGGACTAAAAGAGACAGGAGAGGAGACATGAGGATAACTTGAATAGGGCACCACATTCTATGCTACCCATGGAGTGGGTGGCCCTGTACAGACAAGAGTCTCTGTTGTGCTAAGTGGTGTATATACACACGTAGACACAGGCATAAAATAAAAAGAAGTAATTTCTGCTTGTTTTTTGAGACAGGGTTTCTCTGTGTAGTCCTGCCTATCCTGGAACTCACTCTGTAGACCAGGCTGGCCTTGAACTCCAAAATCCACCTGCCTCAGCCTCCTGAATGCTGGGACTAAAGGCATGCACTGATTCCACCCAGCTAAATATTTTTTTTTAAGTAAAGGACTAAGACAGAAATAGTAGCTTTGTGATAAGGCTTTCCCTGAGAAAATCTGTTTGAAGTTAGGCCTGCACCAAAGAGGGCTTTCTCAAAATCCTAGCTCCTGGGGAATATCAGAATAAAACAGAATCGCCCCTGAAGCTGGCAACTGCTCAGCTTGGCTATCCCCGAACCATCCCTCTGACCATGCTCACTGTCGGGGAGGGGATTCAAAAGCAGCTCTTCCTGGCCCTGCCCATGGCCCCTCGGTGCCTACTTGAATGTCAAAGCTCTCCCCGACTTCTCTTCTCTTTCACGAGTCATTAAGAAAGGTAAGTCCCACCTTTTATTCAGCAGGCTGCCGGTTGCAGGCCTCACTATGGGCTTGCCAAGAGGGGAATGCTGAAAGGGGGGGTCCTCTATGCCTTGGCTGGCTTCACCGTCACCAAGCTTCTTCTCCTTCAGGGAAAAGGGTTTTTTGCTGGGACCTGAAGACACAAGGGTCAGAACAAGGTTTAGAGAAACAACTATGAGATGTGGGATGCAGTTGGAGCTAGCCACTGCGCTGGAGAACACACACTTGAACATCAAGGGCCTGCACAGAGCATCGGACCATGGAAACAATAACTGAAAACTCACTTATTTTCTTCTTGTGCCAAAAGATAACCACGTCCTTATGCAGACCTTTCCCCTTCTTCCTAGCCAGGGCTGCAGATGCCTGAAAAACAGTTTACAATCACCAAATATGAGGTCACGTGGAGACCAGAGAAAATGTAAGTGAAAACTCAAATGCTGCAAAGAGAACAGACTACTTTAAAAAAAAAAAAAAAAAAAAAAAGGCCGAAGGAGGGTCAGCAAGATGGCTGAGCAGGTAAAGGTACTTACTTGCCTCCATGCCACAAGACTGGAATTCAATCTCCTGGACCCACATAGTGGAAAGAATGGACCTCCGAAAACTGGTTCCCTGACCTCCACATGCACT